TCTGCTGTTGGTAAAGATTCAGATGGTAATTGTGCTTCAGATGTTGTGATTGTGCGGACACAATCAAACCCAGTCGCGGTCACTGACAAAACTACAGACACACATAAGGCACTAGATTCCTCTGGAGCGATGGATGTTTCTGATGGATTTTCCACTGAAAATGATAGTTTCGCCATCCCAGCCGCGGAAAAACTTGTTTTGGATCAGTCCAACGACTGGGGCACTATGCAACCATCCGCCACTGACTCACTAGCAGACGATATTAGTGGATTTCAAGTTGAGAACGAACAAATTTCTGGTTCTAAGGAGACTAGCAATGATGATAACATACTGACTCGGGTCAAATCAATGGACATCTTCTCTAAAGGAACATTTGACCCAGAAACTGTCAGAACGTTGCAACGACAGGATCCAATTGCACGTGTTTATTGATTACCTCTTAAATGAGAAATTACCGTCCTCACAAAAAGAGTCTCGGCGTGTTTTGCTGGAAAGTGGGGATTACCTTCTACTCGATGGGGTCCTTTTTCACTCAGGTGTCGCAAAATCCAGCAGGAACAGGACACTGCAACACTATGAACTGGTACTTCCTGCAGTCATGATAAGAACAGTCATAGAACTGTATCATGATTCCCCTCTGGCGGACATGGGGGTATACAACAAACGGTGGATAGTGTTAAAGACTCTTACTACTTCCCTCGTCTCGCGACCATTATTGCGGATTATGTTCGGTCCTGTCCTAGATGTCAGGCCAGGAAAACTACCAGAGCGCATACCAAATCCAAACTCGTAGCGTTTCCAACACCTGTGCGACCCTTTGATGTTTGGGAAATGGACTTGTATGGCCCTTTGCCTGTTTCTCCCAGTGGAAATTTGTATGTCTTTACAGCAGTTGACCAATTTAGCAAATATATATATGCTGTTCCCATACGTAACAAAGACGCAATTACTGTGTCAGATGCTTTGTACACACTTATTACTACTTTTGGTGTATGTAGTACACTGATATCAGACCAGGGTAGCGAGTTCCTTTCAAAGTGTACACAAGAGGTTTGCCGACTTCTGGATGTAAAGCAACAATTTACACCAAGTTTTACCCACCATTGTCTGGGGTCGGTCGAAAGAACTCATCGTACTCTTGCTGAGCGCCTCACACCATTCCTCCAAAGTGGCAGGACATGGGACAATGTTTTACCGTCGATCATTTTTTCCATGAATAATACGGTCAATGCTACTTTAGGATATAGTCCATTCGAGATCGTCTTTGGATACCGTCCTCGATTTCCTTTGTCGACTCACATTCTTCCCACAGTCTTCGAAACTATTCCCAAGAACTATCATGTTTATGTCCAGATGATTGCAGACCGCTTGGCCGTCATACGCAACGATGTAGAGAAACATGCTGGTATTGCCAGGGATGCTTTTCTCAAAAGAGAAAATTCGAGGACAAACACATTGCGCATAGATGTTGGTGATTATGTATACCTATTAAAGGATCCATCTGGGAAAGGTCAGAAGCTTCACAATAAGTATGCGGGTCCCTATGTCATACATGAAGTAAATTCCCCTCATTTAGTAACACTGCGGGATAGAAAATCGGACAAACTCCTTCCGCGACCAATCCATATGAACCGCCTCAAATTGGCATATGTACGTGTCCCTACAGGATATTTCATGCCTGCAGTTGCCCGAACAGATCACGTTCTTTCTGATGGAATGTTTGGCCACCACAGAGGTTGACACGCAAACAACTTCGGATCATGCATCCTACGAGATTGACTTCCAATCGCATGAATCGCAACAGAGTGCAAGTGTTGTGTCTGATGTTGAGCCCCCCGGCCACATCTCTGACAATGTTGACAAAATGTCTGTTACACAACCTCTTCCTGCTGATCATGTGAGTGGTGACGTCCATCATCATGTAGCAGAGATTCCAGCAATTCTATCTAATCTGTTCCCACCTGTGTCGCAACATCGTCGAACAGCGGCAAAATCTATCACATGTGCATCGGAGGAGGAACCACTAGTTCCGGTTGATGGTGCTGTTTATGATGCAGTTCCCATACCCAATTCTAATGACACTCGCCCAAAGCGAGTACGTTGCAAACCTGTTCGTTTCCGGGATACGAACCATGTTGATCCGGCTGTTTTAACCTCATCGAGCAGTGGATCAGGTCCATGTCATACGAAGCGTGTACTTGCTCGTAAGAAGACAAAGAGCAATGATGAATATTTGGTACACCGACGAGGAGAACCAGCTAAACATGCGACATGGGTGCCCATAGAACAATTAGATGATAAGACGAGGGCCAGCATCCGAAAACGCCCACCTCCTCTAGTGTGATGTTTCAGAACTGCGATTAATAGTTGTTTTATTTTCTTTGTCTATTCTATGTTGCATTGATCACTATGGTACTGAAATGTAGTTCATTGTTTGCTACTCAAGTTAAATTTGTGATTTTCATTCATTACCTTAACAAGTTTATGCAGATAGCATATCTACTTGAATATTTTGTTTGCACAGAGTTTCTGGTTCATAATGTTCGATGATTTTGTCCAGGACGATTGAGTTAAATACCAGTGTATTCATTGCAAAGGAATAATATTATTCCTAGCTGATTATTGACATGACAAATATTATCTGATAGTACCCCAACGAATAATCGCTGAGAGTGCACAATATTAGATTTACTACCATGTCGTATGTCCAATTCAGCTTAAGGTTTATATATATATATAATTCTAATGTGGATTTCTATTTTTGTAGTGTATGGAATTGAGGATTATGATGTTTTGTGCGAGGCTTGTTTATATTATATGCAATTAGTTGACTGGTTTGTTCACTAAATATATTCGGACATGCCTTTACATCATTCAGCCAAAATTCATGGAAACTACGCATTTGGAATTGGTTTATCATTTCTGATAACATTGTCAATGTATGAGTTTTCTGCTAGTTAGATACCTTTGTTTAGGTGTAAAATTTTATCTGCATCTTCCTGACCAGTTTTTTTAAAATTGATTCTCAATTTTTCTATTGGGGCGGGGATGTTATGTTTATAGTTACTGGTCAGGTAGAGGCGGATTAAATTATAACATTCCGGATATTATAAATCCGTGTATCATTTTGTTGTATTAGTATGTACCCGTTCCGTCTTTTACGGAGGCCGGGTTGAATTTTGGTTAGCAGTAGAGATTTTCCGGAAGAGAGAAAAATAAAAAAAATAAAACCCTTGTTGAAGAAATCTATCTTTGTAATCCATATGGACCACACCCAAGCGAGCCGGTAACATCTTCTACAACCGAACGAGTCCTGAACGCCCTTTCAACATCGATTTCTCCTGCGTTATTGACTGTATGAATGGTAAGTGTTCTTATGTTTTCGGCATTTGGTGGTGTCATTCTAATACGTCATATTATCAATCATTAACTGAATTGAACAAAAAGGTATAATTGAAGTCTAATATTTACATGCTCGATCGCAGTCAGCCATTTTTGTTGTTATCCCACAAACGATGGAAATTTAACCGCATAAAACTTCTTCAATAGCTGATTGAACGATATACCGATGACATATAATCCTTCTTTGAAATCCATTTTAATCAACGCTCGCATCAGATTTTGATATTTTTCTATATTTAATAGGGTAATCTTTATTTGAAATTGGGAGGAATTCCGAGTGTTTCCAAAATGGCGGATGATCAGCCATCAATAAACACGAGATTTTAAACGCAAAAACTTCTTAAATAGCTTATTGGGTGATTAACTGATGTCATATAATAGGGTAATCTTTATTTGAAATTGGGAGGAATTCCGAGTGTTTCCAAAATGGCGGATGATCAGCCATCAATAAACACGAGATTTTAAACGCAAAAACTTCTTAAATAGCTTATTGGGTGATTAACTGATGTCATATCATTCTTCTTTGAAATCCATTTTAATCAACGCTCGCATCAGAGATATTAAGATGAAAGATATATGTTTTTTATCTCGCTGTTAATAAAATGTGTATATAAGTCCGTGCTGTAACAATGGTATATGACAATGTGTTACATAAACACCTGACATTCTATTGCGTAAGTCTGTCATCGTAAAACCTAGTGTCGTGTACGGGTATATCGAGAAGGAAGACAGAAGGCCAGTATCCTGTTTTGGACGATTGTGTCCGGTTTTCAGGCATTAGTCATTGTTATTTTCCGGCAACTGTGTATAAAATTACCAAACTATTTCAATACTTTACTACTAATTAATAACATATGATCTGAAAATGACCCAGAGAAAAAAAAATTAAAATAGGTTGGCATTTTAAAAATGATTATAATGAATAGAAGGACACTATTACGATTACCGACAAGTCTGACAAAATGAAATGAAATTCCCTATTATTCTGTACCATGGTACACATTTGCACTGCCAAAAAGATGTGAAATGCACATTTTTGTATATCATCGTTGATACAAAATGCTTTGAAAGCAGTAACATCTCATCTCATTTCTTTTGCATGTTTCTGTACCAGAATAACGCATATATCACTGTACACAAAGGTTTGAATGCCCATATCTTTGTGTACCGTGGTACACTTTTATTTGGTAAAAAAGATCAGAAAATTTAATATTGTTTTGTCAGGTTCTTGTTGGCCATCGTACAGTACAGATAAATATTAGTTGCATTCTGTGTTGAACTACGCCAATCTATTGTGAGGACGTTGTCTGCATTTTATCACAGTAAAATGTTTGTGTATCACAAAAGTGGCATTGGTTAATTAATCGCTATCAGGGGGAGACAGGTATTGTTTACTGTTTATCTATTTTGGTGTAATTTGGGGGAAATACAGACATTAATTATTGCAGTCCCCTGTGTTACTAGTAACATGATAGATTAACGGAGAGAAGTTCCCCCACACTTTAAAAACAGAAGCTGTAACTGCGTGACCCAATTCCACGATCGATATTCTACCAGATACTGCTGTTATCATTTTATAAAATGAACTTAAGACTCACCTTTTCCACGTAAGAGATGCGGAACAGCATTGTTATCGGGTCTGTCAGAAAAGTAATCTGCATTTTTCACAAATGCTTCGGTAAGCGCTTCAACACCATTGATAACGACAGTAAAGGTTGATCCCAGCTGAATACTGTAAACATCGCCATACTTTCCTCGGAGTCTTCGGAACGTCTCCAGCACGTTCCCCTTCCACATCAGTGGAATACATCCTACCACTGGATACCCAGTTGGACCGGGAGGGACTCCGGACGGAGTCTGCAGTAACCGAATCACCACCAGAATTATTAGTAGAACCACGATTAGCCCTGTTATACTGTCCAATCCAAGCATCCAATCAAAATTCATTTTGTAAAGAAATATTTTAAAGTTAGTAAAGGATTCCTCTTGTATTTTGTAGGAATAAAATGTGTCCATTTGAGACATGAAATCTGGAAATAAGGTAACCAAGCAAATCTTTCCTGTTAAATACACCGAAAACGAAAGGACGGTTTTCCCAAACGCACGTACGTGTGTGATCCTGTACTCTATAATCAATACGTAATTTTCTATACGTGCTATCTATTTATAACTCGGAAGAATTTCCAGAAAATATCATTCTGGGAGTAGGCAAAGAATGTGATAATCACTTAGTAATACACAAGGTCTAGACTTTGATCAAACAACTCACGTGTACAGTAACAAGGCATAGAAAAACCTTGTTCCTTCATGTATAGTGATGCAGTTACGTGTACGGAAAACCGAGTGTTACTGTATCAATCACACACTTCCTCACTCTTACATCCTGACGTGCACAAGGGGCAATTCAAATATTCACTCATCCGCTACTTGATCAATCATATTCTTCTAAGTAAAAATATGTGGTGTGGAAGACGATATATCTTTACATTGTGATTGTAATGGTCTGCATGATGACATTTCATTGATTCAAATATTTTCCTCATTCTCTTATCATATGTAGATTTTATTACATTAATTATACTCGAAACAATTCAAGGAACACGTTAGCAATGATGTTCCAGAAATGTTGGAAAATACAACAGATGTTTAAGGAACCTTGGTGTAATATCTTTCAAACCTGAAGGTCACGTGACAATAGAACTATACGAACGTGACTTATGACTCATTACCAATACTTAATCATCATTAGAGTTTCATGTCTAGAACATCTTTCTAGATAGACGTGTGATTATGAAGGAAGTTGAGAACTATGAGACATTAATGTTTTACTTCCTGATCCTCTAATACTATTACTGAGTGTGTGATAGTGTTTGGGGAGGAGAAATGTGTAATTGTGAGTTATGTAGCATGTGTGGTGAAGACTGACTACCAGCCCTAGAGTTTCTGTAAATACACGTGTAACCCCAGCTACATTCTTCTACTAGCCTATCCTCCGTGCTGAGATAAGGAATCAGAGAAATAAACATTGAAATATCATGTCTCATCAATTTTAGGCTGTCTAGTGAAGTGTGTCGATATATATGTATAATTAATTGCTAGGATCTTATGCAATTATATAGGTCACCGATAACTGACGCGACATTAAAAATATGATTTCCGTATAAAATTCCGCTGGTTTTGTTTTGTTTATATAATGTTTTTCTTCTGCTGTACAGTAAATCTTGTACAATCTCTGCAGAGAAGAATTGAAGTTAGCTCTCAGTGCCGAAGCTTCACCGGCTGTTACGGAACAGGAAAATGGGAATGGGCTTGGTCTGATGGTAAAATAACGTTCCTCATTTGGATGAACATTAGAAAACTAACATTGCAAGGATAACCGTGTAACTGTTTACCCTGTAGATAATTATATAACGCACCACAGTTACCCGGAAAAGAAACAAATAAATAAACGCAATAAATTCTAGATAAAGTTACCTATGTTGATATAGCTTATATGTTTTTTTCAGAATTCATAAAGGTAACAGCTTGCACGTCCTTGTATAATTTTCATGAATCTAAATTGGACATTCCTGGAACATGTACATCAGATTTATTTTGGTATTACGTTGAAAAATAACTCCAATAAAGATAACGTTAGTTTTTAGATAAGAAGGTTATGACATAATTACTGATAAACACCTATCATAAAGCTTTATCTATACTAATCAAAACGTTTTATGTTTCCGTTGCGTTATTTGGGTTTCCAATTTTTAGACAGAAGGAACCATCTTCAAATGCTGTCATGTATGACACCAATTATTCCTAATAAGGTCAATTAAAATTAAGAATAATAACATTAAAAAGCAAAAAGCATGATTTCTCTATCAGTTATATGTATTATTAAGTGTATTGGTAATTTGTTTAAACAAAGCTTGACTATATATATATATATATGTGTGTGTTTTTCTAACCTCAACATATATTCACTTAATTTTAGACACATAAATAGCTTGTGTGGACTAGCCGAGTAAGAACTTTGAACTTTTGTAGTATAAAAAATGTATTGATAAGGTGTTATAAGTATTACAATAATCATGGCTAACAAGTCATCGTGGAAATATTTCACGCCAGATGGCGCAGTTACAAGTTGAAATATAAATGATATCGATTGAAATTCCACGAATCAGATCTTTTCGCGGAAACTAATTTTTTTTATTAAGACGAAACACTTTGTGTAATAATCGTTTACTGTTGTTTACTAATCGACCTTAATTTAGAGTTGTACATTTGTCCGTCCTCGGTTATATACAATAGATATACATATTGTGTTGGTAATATGTGGTTTAACATATTTTCGATGATTAATCAAAGTTTATTGATCAATGTTCCCCTTGTTCATTTAATTTCAGAACATACATACATACATACATACATACATACGTACAAACAAACATACGTACATACACACATACATACATACATACATACATACACACACACACACACACACACACACATACATACATACATACATACAAACAAACCTTATATTACATACAGTCATAAATTTAGTGTTGACAGACTAATCAATTTTAAAGTATGGGAGAGAACTCTGTTATTTTTTTTTTACTTTAATCTTATGATTATACGATTATAAGAAGATAATTAACAATCTATCAGCTTTTCAGTTTACTATGTCTTATTATATTAATGATATTAACTGCGTATTACGTGTACTTTCTCTCACATATAAAAGGGGTTTGGGCCAGAATGTCCATGATATAAAAGTTCGCCCTCTCCCAGTTCAGTGAGGGAGCAAGTACACATAAAGCACATTTTTCTTATATTAAAGGATTTTAATTCTAAATTAATATGATATTCAGACCAAGCTACAGAACAGATCAGAGTTGTTTCCTTATTATAAGATGATAATTGTCCTTGTTACTACACATAAACCGTATCCAGTAGTAAGGTCACGTTTGCAGTATGCCACTTACGTCCTGTCATTATAAAAGATAAAACATGTTCATTTCTATAAAAGCGTGCTTTAAATATGCTTTAATCAAGTAAAAACAGTTAAAACTCTCGGGAAATACACTTGTTTTTTTTCTACTTTTTCCCATGACGTATTAGACCAGATGTGTTTTGTTAGCTTTGTAACCAGGAATAGTCATTCACTATGAGAAAGGTACCCGTTTATAAAAATGAGAGACATGCTTGGGTACTTTCAGTTATTAATTTGATTGATAATACCTTGTATAGCCATTTAAAATTTGTAACAAGTCGTTTATTTACAACCGCTGTACACACAATCACTTTAATATAACAGTCGTGTTTCCAAAAGGAAAAGAGGTGTGTACCATATTTTTCAATCGTTTTGAGTATAAGAAATAACGTTTGAATTTTTGTGGGAATCAATGCTAACCTTAAATTAAAATATTAGAAATAAAATCTCTCTCTCTCTCTCTCTCTCTCTCTCTCTCTCTCTCTCTCTCTCTAAATATATATATAGTATATATCTCAACAACAAGAAAAGAAATCACAGTACAAAAAGTACTGAGAGGCTACACGTATTGAAAAATGTTCACAAATAACCGCAAAGCTATATTACTTACCCCATACTCCTACACTTTGGAATTCAAAAATTACTAAAATAAGAAAACCAGAAGCTATTTTTCTTAATTTTAAGGGATTTCATATCTTCTTTAATTCTTAATTTAAATTTGACAATAATGTGAATAAATCAAAATAGGTAAAAAAAATTAACAAAATACACACAACCATATATTTATCGCCAACAAGCCAAATGATAAATAACTCTATGATGAAGTTGACTAAATAAAACCTTTGAAATACCCAAGATGTTGCAATTATTATCCTATCAATATGAGGATTTAGACAAATCGAAAGGACTTTATACCTACTTCTTTATCTTGAATGTATTGCAAAGTTATAGTCCTTACTTATTATAGTTATATTTGTAGTTGAGGAAAGTAGATAAGGTGTACACAGCATTTCAGATAGATTAAAGTGCAAGTAATTACATTAAATGTATTTACATGCCTATCTTCCTTGAAGTATCATGGTTAGACTTTCCTTCCAGTAATTATGTCTATAAAGGCATAGTTCTATGAGATTAAACCAGACTTCCATATATATACAAAATTTACAATATTTTCACAATAGCTACTACCATTTCTGATCTCCAATGCATTAGATAATGTCACCATGACACACTAAATGAATAAACATATTGTGGAAATATTTCGTTTTAGTTAATTGATAATTATAAACATGAATATTTTGGGGTTTATATACGCGCTTTGTTTGAAGGAATATTTTCATTTCAAGGAACTTTGATAGACATTAACAAACCTTGAGAAATCAGCACAATCAACCTTCATCAAATAAAACTAATAGACAAAAAATAGAAGTTATAACAAAGTCAACATCTTGATCAGTACAGTATCAAAAATATATCATTCATGAAACATGAGCACCAAATGTACCTTGCCTACGAAACCGCAAACTTTTTATCTTCAAAAACTTGAAAAAGTGTCATGGCGGTGGGTGTGAAAATCCTGAAAAAAGTGTCATATCGGCGGGTGTGCGCGTAGGACGAACAGTCCAATATTGTGACGTCTAATGAGGTAAAGTGATGTTATATATTAAGACGATCTTGCCACAACAACAAGAATTAAAGCAAAATTGATGTTCTGTTTGTAAGTTTTGTTTGTTTATCAGTGCTGTTAGTTGATAATTCAAACCAAGACCCCAGACTAGCTTCTTATCATGGCGCCAACTCGCAAGTACAGTGTTCTGTACGCTTACGTCATGTCGAGAATTCCGTAAAATATATTGTTCAAAATGTATCAATAGTTCAACCACACTGTGCTTCTTTTTTTGAAATATATAGTAATCGTATTGTTATTTAAAAAAATAAACTTATTTTGGATGCTTTTAAAAAATTT